ATAAAATATATATATATATATATATATATATATTGTATTAAAAGATTCAGTGTGGTGTTACTCGATATTGCCATTTAAAAAAAACAGTAAGAACTTCTGAACTATTTTTAGTTTAAAGGAGTTTGCTTGAATTGGTAGAAACTTTGAAATCACTTGCTGGGTCCGACGGCCCATTTTCATAAAAATGTGTAAAATATATATATTTTTTTACGTGTCCACATGCTGTTGCACAAATTATCTTAAATGCAGGAAAAAATGGTCATTGTGTATCACTGAAGTCTTTAGTGTTAATTAAAAAAACATTATTAATTGTTGGGAGAATAATGCAAAATGCTTCCAAACAATAATAATAATACGTTTTATTTATATAGCGCCTTTCAAATACCCAAGGACGCTTTACAAATAAATACTGGGGCTATACCCAAGGACACTTTACATAAGGTAAATAACAGATAGTATACAACATATGAACGGCCAAACAGCAGTCAGAGGTGAAATAATATGCAATATACAAGATAAGTTACAAAACAAGCATAGAACAGAAAATGAAGGCAAGCTATCAATCAAGAAACATTGTAAATAAGTGAGTTATGAGAGCAGTTCTAAAGGTCTGGAGTGAAGAGATAACACGGAGATCCTGTGGTAGTTTATTCCAGAGCTTGGCAGCGGTAACGCACACTAGATAGCCAGAATTTAGGTACTGCAAGCAAATTTTCAGAGCTCGATCTCAAAGTAAGGGCAGGGACAGGGGAGAATTAATTCAGAAAGTTAAGAAGGTGCTAAACCATGAAAACTAAAACAAGAATCTTGAACTGAATACGATAGGTGACAAGGAGCCAAATATGCTACTCAGATCTGTTTTTCTGTGCATGAATGTGTGTATGTATAATCGGCTGCTCTTGTGTTGTCAGAAAAACAGCAGTGATGACGGTGAGTTCGTGTATCACACCGGAGAGCAGAACTACCTGGACTTCGGCCGCATTTACACCTGGAAGGGAGAAAAGTAAAGACCCCGATTCTCCTGAATGTCCTGTTTAATGAAGCAGAGCTGGAGAGGGTTGACTTCATGTGCTTTGTGTCTCAGGATGATGTCCTTCTGGAAGAGCAACCAGAGTAACATGATCAACGGCACCGACGGCAGCGGCTTCCACCCGTTCCTGAGCAAAGAAGAGCGGCTGAACGTCTTCACCCCTGACCTCTGCAGGTAGCGGCCCTCGTTTACATTCATGCACTCAGCAGACGTCAAGGTTATTAGACAGCTAGATTACTAATGCAGTCAGTGCTTTCAGAGTGATATTTGTGCTGAGATTGAGACTTAAAAATTAGCATGCAATGCCTTTTTTCCTGCTTGTTTTGCGTTCACATCTTTTGTTGTTGACGTAATAAACTGAGACGACGCGCATCGAAGTTTTAGTGGAAAAGAGACGTTCAGACAGTCCTCATCTCTGCTGAACAGCAGCTAAAACAGCTCCAGTTGTGCAGCATGAGAGAGATCGAAAATGACGGAGACATATGAAGTAAAAGTGCAGATTACAACAGGTACAGCTGTCAGCCGTGTGGATATTAACAATATCGTTACCAGTTCTCATTTAGAATCGATACTGATTTGGCTTCTTGTTATCAGGATCTTCTGTGTTCTGTTAATGTGTGAGCTTTATATTATTTGTAGTGCACAGTGATTGCACTAAGCTTTGTGTTCTGTTACCTAAATTTAATACACAAAGTATCAGCTTTAAAATTCTGCCAAATTCATAACGAATAAAATAGGGTTTTGGTGCTCTTTAATGTGGCACGAGTGATCTTAAAAAATAATTTGGCACCTATTTTTATTTCTTATTGAAGCCAGTGGCTCCTTAAGTGATTTTTTTTTGTTGTCTGGAGCCCTGTCAGAGTAGAGCTGTGGCAACATGAGTTCTTGTGCTAACACTGATTTGTGAAAGAGCACATGTCGATCCAATTCAGTTTCATAAAAAGCTGAGCCTTTGTACAGGATGACTTTTGAAAGAGCGGCTGGTTGTATCTGATTCAGTGCAGTCCTGGAGCTGTTGTTCTCGTGTGTGGGTGGCTCTGCCGTACCTGTGGTTATTCCTGAAGGCTGATCTCAGTGTGTTTGGCAGCACATGTGTTTTCTGTTGTGTCCTGATAAGAACAGGACTATAAATCACATGCCATCCGGACCTTCAGAACACGCCGTAATATAATGGAAAAGACATCTGTTCAAGCCGTTCCACGGGAACATCCTGAAATTCATCCTGAGTACATGCTGAATCCACTACTGCTTATAATAATTATGAATATTTAATATTAATTTGTAACATTATTTTGAAATAATTTTAGAATTTATATTCGATTATGAAATACATAAAATATACATTCCATATCAATAAAAATTTTTTTTTTTAAATAACTGATAATATAATTTTAGTATTATTTATATGCAATATATACATACATACATACATACATACATACATACATATATACTTAAATTTAGAGCCTCTGAGATTTTATTTACACACTTTTTCTTTTCTTTTGTTTAGTTTTTGCGTTTTAAAAGGTAGCCATGCACTTTTCAGAAATGTTACTAGTATTCATTCAGACTCCAGATAGTAGTAGATAATAGTTTCATTTTGACTCCAGAAAAATTAAAAAATACTGTAGAAAAAGTCTCTGAGAATCAATTTTATTTATTTATTTATTTGTATGTTTGTTTATTATTTGTTTATTGAATAAAATACTTAGGGAAGGAACAAACAGCAGGTTATATATATATAGAATTAACTTTTTGTTTAAAAACTTCAGTTTTAATTTTAGTTTAATTTGTAATATTAGTTTTATGTGCTTTCTTCATTTTTGTTAGTTTTTGTTCTTTTTAAATATTACTATTTAAGATAAATTCATTTTTATTTCAGTTTTTATTTTAGATCTTTTTTTAATTTTTTATTTCCAGTTAGTCATTTTAGTGCTTTAACTTAAACTTACTTCATTTATTTCAAATATTTTTGTTTATTTTTCTTTTAATGCTTATAATTTATTTTATTTCAGCTTAATTTCAGTAAGGGTCAATTTTTCGAAACTGAGATTTATACATCATCTGAAAGCTGAATAAATAAGCTTCCATTGATGTATGGTTTGTTAGGAGAGCACAATATTTGGCCGAGATACAACTATTTGAAAATCTGGAATCTGAGGGTGCAAAAAATCTAAATATTGAGAAAATCATCTTTAAAGTTGTCCAAATGAAGTTCTTAGCAATGCATATTACTAATCAAAAATTAAGTTTTGATATATTTACAGTAGGAAATTTACAAAATATCTTCATGGAACATGATCTTTACTTAATATCCTAATGATTTTTGGCATAAAGGAAAAATCTATAATTTTGACCCATACAATGTATTGTTGGCTATTGCTACAAATATACCCCAGCGACTTAAGACTGCTTTTGTGCTGCAGGGTCACATATTATATATTTTTTAGTTTTAGTGCACAATAATAACCCTGGTGTGGATCATTCCAGAAGTTCTAGTTTCCATTAATAAATCTTATTTAGACACAATCAGTCCTTTGAGCTTCCAGATTTTAATGTTAAAAAAGTCCTTCTATATATATGTGCATTATTTTAAAAGCAGTTTAGAACGGCACACACTATAATACAACACCAGTTGCTTATTTATGGAATATTTCTACCAGAAGTATTATTATTGTTCTAGACTTATTTTCATACAGTAATGACAATGTTTTAGGTCAAATGTCTTTGTTAAGGTAAGTTTGGCTGTTTTTAGATCATCAGGAGCTGAAGTAGCTGATGATAATTTTGGATTGTTGGTGGACGAACACAGCTCTACATATTCAGTCTGAAGTTCCCTTTTAAAAGCACTGTATGTGGAAATGCAGAAGATATTTATTCATCGGCTCAATCTCTGCTGAAATCAGCATGAAATTGGACCAAAGGTCCGAACTTCCCGAATCCCTGCCTGACATCAGCGTTTGTGTCTGACTCAAACTCTGTGTGGAAACAGAACTTTCCTCTAATTATCTGTAATATCATTACAGAAATAAACTGGGGTGATGGGATTTTACAATATGCAGTGTTTCCCACAGGATTTTGTGAGACTGTGGTGGGTGGTCTTCGATGCCTCTAGGGGGGTCTGGGGGCATACCCCCCGTAAGAAAATGTTGTACATTTTAAAGTTAAATTCATAAATCTGGTGCACTTTGAGAGTTCAAAATTAAGAGCTCCAACACAGGTTCAGTGTGCAAAATAAAAGAAAAAAGCTGGTGAATGACCTTGTTCTTGAAATTTAAAGGAGACTCAACCCTCTTTTTAGTTGTGATATAGTGTCTCAGTCTCACTGGTGAATTTGGAAGCCAAACAAATAGAATAAAACAATAATAATAATTTTATATTATTATTCCTATGACAGTTATAGCCATATATTGTAAAACAATTGCACTGTGAAATAAATGAAAACTTTTTTTCAGGTATATTATTTTACCTTACTCTACTGTAGG